TGGAATTGAAATTCCTGAAGCATGGATGCCCACGATCAAAAAACACAACAACAGGAGAACGGTACAACAGCGGACCACTGAGGGAACAGCTACTTGCAGAACAATGGAACAATAGGAGGATCAAAATGCACTAATCACAGCCAACCTTTGTGATATAAATGATACCGTGCAATCAGTCGACCTTATCACCTAAAGACTAGCAGTAAGCAGTCGAAACGTCGCAATCTACATCTCAAGTGACTACATTGTGAGACAAACAATAATACACTTTATTATTGCATCCACCACGATGAATAACAACAACCTTTTCCTCGACATAAGCAAGGTAAGTTTGTGAGAAAAGGCTTTGAGATATTACTACCACTCATGAGCACGTACTTGTTTTGCTCTGGCTTAATTCATCTTACTACTGGGAATCAATGGGAAACTTAACAAACAGAGCAATTTTTTGCTAGAAAGTTTGCAGGAAAATTTGAGAAGAGTGAATTTTCACTTGAAAATTGGTTCATATTATCGGTAGACACAAATTACTGCCCGAAAATTCACGTTGACTAACACAATGGGCAGCAGGAAAATTTGTTGAATTTTCTTCGAACTTTCGAGGTGAACAAAACTTTGCCATTTTTCGTCAAAAAGCCCGGCAATTCGCGAATTTTGTTCTCGTTACTGCACAATACTGTATATGCTGTCATGCATGTGCGGATGTGTATCGCAATTCGATGGAATCACCTTTTACCAATATTAATATGTCCTTTATAGTACTCACCTTACATGGGCTCAATCGCTCATAAGGTGTAATAACATGTCTGTGCAAACAGCTGACAGCCATTTTACGCAGTGTGTCCACTGTGTTGTTACTGACACATGGATGGTACAAGAATGCTACTCCACCGTGCTGTAGGAAGCAAGATGTAAAGAAAAAACTGACCAAAAAGAAGATTAATTTTGTATTATGAGAAAGGGATATTTAAACATAAGTACACTAACAGATCTAGCTGATGTCCATTTAATGTTACAACCTGGAAAACCAAATAGTGAAGAAACTCACCAAAACAACACTTAACCACAATGACTTCGGGAGGTATTCATATTCTCCATACTGCGGTCTTGTTAAAAATCGCTTGTCACTAATGAAAAACAGCAATATTCTATTTGATAAATTTGTATATTTAACAATTATTCCACAAGCGCGGGTTGTATGAGTTGGCTATAATCAGCTGATATCCAGCAAGTGCAAGTGGAATAAATGTTTTCTTAAAAAATGCTCCAAAAAGTCACACATACACTTACCATATTCGTAGAGCATGGTATAATGGCTGATAACCCATGATGGCTATGCCAATGAAAACTCTCAAATTGGATTATCCAATTATCCAGTTTTTACTAATGTCAATAGGTCTTATGATTGATTGCTTATGATTGATGATTATGTCACACACTCAGAATTCACCACCAAGCCTTATTTTCATGAAATTTTTTCAAACCTCAGGTCCTTCATGTCGTTTTCACGAGGGTATTCCTTTCATCTTTGCTGCATTGGGGATTTGTTCATGATATAACTATATACATGAAAACATTGCTTGATTCTGATTGGCTGAGAGCAGTGCAGTTCAAGTGTAACACCAGTGCAAAAAGTGTAACACTGGTGCAAAAAGTGCGACACCGGTGCAAATTACACATCGGAATTCTGGATTATGATTGGCTGAAAGATAATAGGAAATTTTCAAAGCCAATGATATTACGTAAAATGTCATGACAAAAATTTTGTACAGAAACTTTGAAAAAAGTTTTCTCGAATGAGAAAAAATGGCTTCAAGAAAGGTCTTCCGGCACTTAATTCCTCCAGGCAAATTGTTTGATGTTTATATTGTTAAGTAATCATACAGTAATCATACAGTTTTTCTTGTTCAATTTGGAATTAATTTGCTCTTGTGAGTTTTTCAAAAAGCTGAAATTGAACTCGCCGAAGCCGCTCGTGCATTTTCAGCTTTTTGAAAAACTCACTCGTGCAAATTAATTCCAAATTGAATGAGAAAAACCGTATGATTACCTACACAAATTTGCAATTTGCATTTTATAAGCGAGGCTTGGTGGTGAAATTTGCTTGTCTGATGTCATCATGCATAAGGGTTATTACGGCAGCTGTATGACAAGACAGCAAATGCTGTAATAAAATTGCCGGTTTTCATGTGACATCATCATTTTCCAAAACTAAAAATTATTGATCCTTCTGAAGTTTTAGTTTCATCACATGTAAGACCCTCTAGTAACTTGGGGAGTTACAACTTTTACACTCGACAGGGTTCCTCATTTTGTTAGAGAGCATGTTTGAAAATCCATGTTTATGCATTGCGTGACAGCTTATTACCCATACGAAAATTCTGAGTGAGACATGGGCAAGATTCTGGCCATAAAATATCATACTAATGAGCGAGACAGAACATGACGATAATCAGGCTGACAGGAGCGATAAAACTTGAACGAAAAATGAACCAGAAAGGAGCAAGACATCTGTACTGTCCTGACATTTGGACAAAAACCTGAGCAAGAAACCAGCAAAATTCAGGCCATAAAATAGTCACACTAATGAACGAGACCCGATGTGATGGCCAATAAACACTTGAGTGCCTAGCATGAAAAAGCCTCTTTATAGTTCTGCTATATACAACGGCAATCATTTATCCTCTGCATATGACTACCTACAACCACCAAACATCACAATAACAGTAAATAGGACTCATTTATTTAGTTTTTTGTCTACAATTTCAAGTTTTGGTTAAATCAAAACGGAAACTTAGAATAGTTACTCGACAATTCATTGGCATGTTCTGTAATCAACTGAAATTAACAAAAAACAAAATACAAGTCTCAACCAATCGAAGTGGCGTTCTACTTGGTAGTCATTTACTCATGCAACAATTTGTATACATTAATCAAAATTTTCGGTGTGCTGATCTACTTGTGACAATGATCTAGCTAAAATTACAAGCCACCTTCATTTTAATAATTACCTCTTAAAGAACATTGAAACCTCAGTACAAACACACCGCCATTACACATTCCAAAGACTGAAATTAAGCTGCACAGACACTGAAGAAATTTGTCTCCAGCAAATTGGGAGAATTTTGAAGTAGTCGATCTTATCCTGACACAAATACAGCACATGAAGACACAATAAGATTTTCCCGCTTTCAAATAAACGGTTGAGTTCTTATTTTTTGATGTCAACGGGCGCAAAACTCGATATGTTTATTCAGAGTGGACCAATCAAATTGAACTCTCTGTATTATCTCAAATGACTTCAAGATCAGATTTTCAAGTTGCGTTGTCATGAAATAGTCAAACATTTTTTACCCATTCACTGGTCATCACTAGTATTACAATGTAACACCCAAAACAGTCAAGTGGTAAATTTTGGAGTGGAAACTACCTAGACAAAACTGCCAAGGACTTTTGTGGGGGTACATTGCAGGAAATTTGAAGGACATTGTATGGTATGAAGAAGCAGACTCAGACTTGTGGCATGGCAGGGCATATCTTGGAGTTTTTTGTCGCACACAATGCAAAAACTGCAAGGCCTCTTTCAAAACCTGGAAAACTGAACAAAAATGCAACCTGGGAGAGAATAAGTTTGTTGAAAAGAATATTTTGATGCAAATTAAAAGAACGATCCTGTTATATTTTAGTTTTTGCATTTAGCGTACTTCTATGGTACTAAGGGCCTGATTACATGAGCTGGGCTGCTTCGGTGTGCCGTGATGACTTTCAGCCCGGTATTACATGAGGCGAGCCAGCCCAGTTGATGGCTGATGCGATGAATCAAGGGAGACCGGAGCGAGCTTGATTTTTTTGATTTTTGATTTTCTGTACTCTCGCTGGTTTAATGAGCCGGGCTGACCTCTCAAACACTATTACATAGAAAAATCTCAGCCTGGTTAGCCGGGATCCCGGCACTGCAATACCAAATAATCTTCTTAGTTCTTGTGGTTTGTTTAATGCACATGAAACGTCCCTAACTGAAGACCAATGTGAACTATAGAGGGAAAAGAGGGAATTGGAAAAGGACTAAAATTTTTCTACATATAA